GTGAATGAATGTTCCCATTCTTGTTGGTGTGCTCTCGCATTTTCCTTTGTTATCCGGTACCCGGTATCATGCGTGATCTTTTGTTCGATTGATGCGATGAGCCAGGCTTTTGTTCACGCAAATGTGGTATGCTCGAAAACTTATTAAAAAAAAACCCGAATTTATCCACCTATGGTGTGATCAGACCCTTCTTACTTATTCAAGTTTATTTATTTTATTGTCATTATCAGTGACCAAGCCCCCCACCCCCGTGTCATCCAGTGACGCTACGCCACTGCCTGGGGATACCCGGAATATATCCGGGTGTAGTCTATTTGGTGAGGCTACCAATCACCTTATCATCGTATTTTAATGTGATTTAATGGGTTTTAATTCAATTCATATTCAAGCAACTTCCCCGGGGTACCCGGAACATGTCCAAGTGTGTCCAATGTGGTCTGGAACACTTAACACGACCTGCATTGATCTTATTTTTGAATTCTGTAGTAATTTGATGTGTCGCATGATGGTTTTGATACGTTTTCCGTTAAATCCAGCGTGAAGGCCTATATTCACCGGATCTTATTCCGGCCATATCTCCGGAACCGGTTCACCGATTCCAAAACCGTTCAATAGCGTTCAATGGGACCCCAAGACCTATCATTTGGCGCCGAGTTTGTCCAAATCGGTTGAGCGGTTGCTGAGAAACGTGAGCGCATTCATTTCGTTACATACACACACACACACACACACACACACACACACACACACACACACACACACACACACACACACACACACACACACACACACACACACACACACACACACACACAGACACACACACACACACACACACACACACACACACACACACACACACACACACACACACACACACACACACACACACACACACACACACACACACACACACACACACACACACACACATACACACACACACACACAGACATGTTCCGATCTCGTCGAGCTGAGTCGAATGGTATATGACACTCGGCCCTCCGGGCCTCGGATCGATAGTCGGTTTTTCAAGTGATATCTATACCCTTCTTTGTAAGAAAGGTAAAAACATCGTTTATACCGTTTTTGAGCTTGGGTTTTGGCTGATCGTAGTGTTTGACCATGATTGGTGAAGTTATGGATTGACCATGTTTTTTTAAGGTAGAAAATAAATGTCGCGATCACGATCACATGTGGACTTGGCACTTGACCGATTAGATTCTGATGTATTGTCGTGTGCGTACGCATCCTGTCTAACACGATGTGGAAAACTGAAAATTTGGTTTAATTTCAAGAAACATACCGATTTTTATATATCATCTAAAAGAGCTTCGTTTTTTGAATACAGCGATATTTTTTACGATCCCATAGACGTTTATCCCGATCTTTAAATCAAGATTTAAATTTTTTGATTTGTGACAAACTCATTTAGTTGACAGCTTGCTCACATACAAAGTCCAACCGGAGGGTGCTGTGATGGTGATTTTTGCTAATGTAATCGTACGTATTTAAAATAGTTCCAGTGCACTCAAATTGATTAAATCTTGGATTTCGGTTTGATTTCTAACGCAGATTATGAATATATATTGACCTCAATACCCCTAAACAACCCAATTGGGTTGTTTAAGGATATTGAGGTAAATACATATTCGTTATCGGCATTAAAAATGGAACCGAAATCCAAAATTTCATCAATTTTGGTACACTGGAACTATTTTAAATAAGTACGATTACATTTACAAAAATCACCATCTTAGCGCCACTTTGTGGGACTTTGTATGGAAGCGAGCTGTTAACGAATAGATTTAGTGTCAACGATCAAAAATTTAAATCTTGATTAAAAAATCGAGATGAATGTCTACGTGATCGATAAAATATCATTGTTCGGTATATTTTTCGAAGTTAAACAACCTAATTGTCACGATGGGTCGAGTGGGATTTGATTTCGATCAGCATTTTTGGTTTGTTTTCCGTCGATCTTGTTTTCCGTGCTGAGCACCAATGCAACCGACGCCAGGGAGGCAGCTCCCATACCTGGACCATACCTTTCTATCGACCCATCAAACTCATTGACCGGGAGACCATCGGCTTTACTTTTCTTCCGAAGGAAGGCGTGATCAGGGATTTTATGTCTCAGAACATCCCGGCGACGCCGACTGGGATTGAACCCAAGCCTGCTGGGGTAAGAGGTAATCACGCTTACCACTACACCACCGGTTCGATCAGCATTCGCATTCGTATTGAGCAAGTTGCACACATTCGTAGGTAGTACAAGTCCAAAATCATTGTTTGAGAGTATTTTCACCTCCGTCCGTTACCATATTGCCCGAGATTTTGGGATTGATCGCACCCTAATAAACGGGTACCATACACTAACGATATCATAGATGTTACGACCATACCATATAAAGTTTAGAAGATATCCAGCATTGGTGGTTAGGTGCTTCTTGATTATTGTTTATGCGGGCAGCCTCGTAAGATGGAAATAGCACTCGAAACTCCAACAATCGGGAACTGCCCTGGCCACGTTTTTGCAACTGATGGGGATGGAAAGATTGTTAGTTGGACACATAAATGCAGAGAACTCTACAACCTCTCAAAAGTGTCACAGGAGTTTGGAGGTTTGTAGTTTTTGTAAATGGGGAGTGCTAAGCCATAGGATACGTTCGATAAACGTGTTGCTGGCAGATTTATAATAGAAATTGGGTGGGGATAGAATAAGGCATAGTGAAAAATTGCAAGGAAGGGGACGAACCTGGGATTGAATTCCCGACCTTCTACTCAGTAAGCAGAAACCTTAACGACTAAGCTATTGAGCCCGTTGTCGAGTGGGGTTTGTTTTCGATCAGCAGCTCACTTAAGTATTTGGCGGCAAGAGTTCTGCGAATTGTGAAGGCGAAATGAAACGTTTAAAACGCGTTAGACTTCAGTCGAGATCGCTTTAGATATGCAATATTTTTGCCGTAATGCTCGATTGTGATCGTAAATCATTGTTGAGTACGTCAAGGGACAATAAGTGGTAGGCAATCGCTTGTGAGGTAAAACTCGATCGAAACAGTGCGAACAGTTTTCTAGCACGACGTATGCTGTGTAGGGGTCTCCAAAGTTTACCAACAAAGGCACTGAATTTGACTTATGAATTTCTTTACCCACTGTTTTCGATGTGGTGGAATAATCAAAATTCATGTACCTTAAAACGGGGTAACATTGAAAAAAAAATTAAACAAGTACTGAGTATCCTAGAACCAATTCATTAGTAATAGGGTTTTTGATCTAATTTCCGTCCTACTAAGCACAGCTCGCGCTGCACCTATCTTTTTTGAACGGGTTTGAACAAAAAATGGAATATTTCTGCCAAAGATGACTTCTAAATTTATTCACCTTTCAATATGTACCGTTGGATTTGATAAAGAGTCACACATTGTTGAGATATTGTTTAAAATCTAATACTGCTTCTTGATTCTAAATTCGTTCTACGAGTTTCAATTCCGTCCTGAAACGCCATTAGATTTTTTTCGTCCTACGGATAAACGTAGAAAAAGGGGATTCGCTAGGAGCGCTTCTTTTGAATTGAGAAAAACGAGCGTAAATATGCATACAATGCGCTCTAATAAGATTTATGTTGTAGCTAATGAACTAACGCATCGGAACAAACCTATTATTGATTTGTGCACGGTGAAATCATTGATATGATTGATCTTTTCTGATCGATAGAACGAAAATGGGCGATTACGACGAAGTAGCGCTCTACCCTATGTTTAAAAGATAGTTATTGCATTTGCACTATTTTTTTAATCTAGTGATCAGTATTTTAATCTGGGGATACTTTGATAATGCTCGATGAATGCAGAAAAATATGCTATGTTACACATAAGGGAATTTACGTATTCTCGTCAATCTAAGAAGCGTCCGCGCTTCTATTACTATTTCCTTAGGATCACGCACACATATGATATGTTTTTTTGTTTACATTTATCTGCTGACTGCTTCTCTATCCATTCCAATCGACATAATTGTCCAAAACTGTTCGAAAACGTTTTTACAACGCTCCAAACTTTTAAGGTGATATGTGACTATTGTCGGCAGCCTCTTTTTCTTCGGCAGCCTTTTCATTAGAACTTCGCGTTAACCAGCTGTTCTATTATCGGCAACTCGAAATTAGCCGCATTTTGTAGTGCACATATTTCTTTTAAAGAAAAATATGGCATACTGTAAAACTGAAATCAGATTGAAGCTGAAACACTGATCGTGTGAATACATTCAGTGAAGTGTTTTATTTCGAAAATACGGTGAAATTAACGTTTACATTTTGGTTGCCGAAAACAGCCAATGGGTGCGAAACCGACATTTACCCTACTGTATAAAAAATCTATACGATATCAAGGGCAATACCCCAAGCTACAATATGGAACCTTTGTTTCCAATTCGAAAAAAAGTGGAGAGAGTAAATTTAATCATTCTATTCTACTATCAAAGTTACCCGCTTTGCACATTGATACCCTAATCCCAAGGAAGTCGAAAAAATTCCAACACGAAAAATGCATTGATTTTAATGGTATGCCGTGCCTTTACTAACCAGGTTGTCTGTGAGCTCTAACTTGTTAAATTATTCGAGGAAATCGCTATGTACAACCATTACCTGAAATAGTCAGATAAAAGTCGACATGACCCTGTATGACTCAACAGTTTTTTTTCTGTATTATTAAACCATAGAAACCTTACCCATAACATTTCGCGTCAAACATTTCTATGTAGCCCTTCGCAACGTTTTGCATTCAACCTGTCCTCCATTACAAGGTTGTTCGTACTGAGAACCTTCACGAGTACTGAACACCTTAAATTCCTTTTTTCACGTTAAATATATTACTCTGTTCCTGAACGGCCGAGAAATGCTTCTCTTTTCTATGTTTACCGCAGTCATTCAAAAACACTCGCCTTACGCGTTAGAATGTCGACCTAGGTACAGCCGCCAACTATAAAATACACGCTCTACTCACCCCATGTACCACGCTATGAGTCTGGTATCGGAGACGTTTCGAACTGTGACACAAGCTGCTGAGCAGTCCTGGCCCCCACGAGAGCGAAAATCCAAATCAAGAAGATCAGGACCAAGAGTGAGAGTGCAATTCACACTTTTCCTGGCACGTGCGCCTATCAATTTACCAAGTCACCTTTTTCCTACGAACTGCCCCCAACCCGCATTCACCTCTAAACACTATTAATTATCGACACTTACTCGTAATAACCAGAGGAAAAATCCGGATATTTGTATCACACTCTCGAATTGGCAATCGATTAATTTCCCCGCTCAGAGGGCAGCTAGCAACACGTCTCTTCCAATCGTAATGAAAATGTTTAGAGAACAGGCAAGTAAAAGCACACCATATAAATCACACACGACTGCAATGGGCGTCTCGTTCGTCTTTCCGTCAAGCGCTGTTGATTCGGATCACTGTAGGTACTCACAACTGCACTTTTTCACTAGAATTCCTAACTAAACATCAGCGTGCTCCAACTTTGCACTAGTCGGACGCGGTCGGCACACAACAAAAAATCACGCTATTTGTCAGACAATCTCCACGTCGGAACTGGTCCGCATTCGACATCCAACTGAAATTGAAATCCGAGTGGAAGCGGCGTGAATTTTATGCACTCTCCTCGACGCAGCAACACACCGACTGCTGCTGCTCGAATAGTGAAGAGTCTACCATGATGCTCTCGTGGAAAGACTGAAAGAGTTTTCCAACCCAACCACCCACTTTTTCTCACTACGAAGACGAACACGGTGGGATCGCATCGGGTAATATTTCGAAAAATTACGAACAATGTTCCCATAATGAAATAATTTAAAAAAAAAACTCTATACATATATATGACTGAAACAATGATTCAGTATAAATCAATACTTAAATAGTGTGGCATGCAATCTCTGCAACAACATTCCAGGTGGATTACAAAAAGCCCTTCAAGTTAAAAAAAAAACTTGCACTTGCAAGTATTATTCCTGAAGATATCCGTTGTTTAAATTTTAGTCAAAGATCCGTCTCAACTGTACGTCTGTTTGCTTACGATTTATTGCTCAACAATCATTCTTTCAACGAATGCTATTCAGCCATTGTGCTTGAACCTCTTTATCCTTCATTTAGGTTTTAAACCTCTTATTTTGGTATTTTTAACCAGTGAAAGGCATAGCAATAGGGGCAATGTTTAGTTCATTGTTATATTAATGTGTAATGCAATTCTGATTTGTAGAGTTGTGTCATGCTTAAACATGTCTAGTTCAGTCTCTAGTTAACCTTTGTTTTCAGCCGGGTAAATCATAAATCAGACAATTATCAGCTTCTGTTCTAACTATTTGGTTTGAAATGTTACTTTGATCATTTCCTCAGTTATACATATATTATGTGGCAAAAGAGAAGACTAGCTAATTTCCAACCCCAAAAAATCAAAACTAAAACTTTTGCCCAGTAAAAACCCACCGTGCAAATCAATTCGGACTGAGAAAATCACAAGAGAGCAGAGTGGCCGAGTCTAGTAACAAAAGCAAAGCTCGTGGTCAGCCGAATGTGTTTGAGTTTGAGCAGAAGCAGTAGCAGGATGTTGAAACAACTTGAGGAAAACGCCACTTGCTAGATGTTATGGCCCCAGTAGCAACGCGCGATTGAACAACTTTTTTGTGACGCGTTGCACCACACTCGGCACACGTTACTTCCCACGACGGAAAAAGGCGCACATGTCTGGGCTAATGTGAGATCTGAACCGAGCGCGAGAAATGCCAATAAAGTTCTTCTCGGGAAATGGGGGGAAAATTAAGCTAAAAATTGACAATTAACTTTATGATTCACCTGACGGCGGGATGAAGTGGGATGTGATATTGTTCGTGCGAGTTAAAACGTTAGAGAAATGAGACGCTTGATATGCGACCATGTTGACTACACACAAGATTAATCAAGCAAATGAGACAAACTTGATTGTTTTTGAATTACATAGAAGATTTAAAATGCGGAAGGAAACATGTAGACAAGCATAATACACAGGTTTTTAATTAGAGAATAAGAGTTTCATGTTTTCTAAAAGATTAGTGGGCGTTTGTGAAAATATATATATATTGTTGATTGCAGAAAAAGAATACGACACCTACCTTCTGACATTTCCGTAGATATTGCTGAGAATTTCATTAGGAACCTGTAAGTAGAAAGAATGAATACTAATAGATACAATATTGATAAAATAGGAACAATGTCAATGAAAACTTACTATCATGATTGAGAATAATAATAAATAATATTGTCAATAATCGCTGATCTGCAACTATCAATAAATTGAAGTATCTGCAGCGCTGTTGACACACTTTCGAGCGACGATACCCACATGTCGTACACCCAACCGGGAAATGTAAGAATCTATTACAGATTTGCACAAAAAGTATGCAGAATTTGAAATGTTTCATCACATGAGCATATTCTGTAATGTGGTCGTCGAATTCATTGTTTATTCATTTTTTTTTTTTTTTATAATTCGTTTATTTTTCCAGGCTCATTTGCTGTAGCTTTGCGGAGCCGATATTCATTGTTTAAATAACAAAATTACTTAAAACTAACGTTAGTAAAGCGGAGGCCGATTACTCGCGGCTATCTCGAGGTTAGGGGTAACAAATTGTAACAAATGGATGGCAGGGTAGGGATTGTGAACACAAGGTTTGGAGAGCAATGTGCTCTTGATCTCGAACTAGGCGACACTCTGATGAAAAAGACAAACATGGGGGTACACCGATGGGCAACTAACAACTTGGGAGAACACAAGATGACACTAACTACTAAATCCTCAAATCTATCCGTTTTAAAAACACATAAATTAAATTCAAATAGTCGAGGTCTCGGCTCGCCAAGACATCTCTAACGGGTATCGCGGGTTGTTTTCCTCGGGCCCTGAGGGATATGGATAACTCAGATCTGGCAACACGGTGTAAGGTACATGACCAAACAACGTGCTCGATATCGTGATAACCACTGCCACACGCACATAAATTGCTGCCTGAGAGCCCAATTCGATAGAAATGCGAGTCTAACGAGCAGTGATTGGACATAAGCCTTGATATAACGCGTATAAAGTCGCGGCTCATGTCCAACCCTTTGAACCATGGCTTGTTCGACACCTGAGGGAGAATAGAATGTAACCATCTTCCCAATTCACCATCATTCCATTTTTGTTGCCAACTGATGAGGACTTGCTGACGAGCAATGGAGAAAAATTCGTTGAAGGCGATTTGTCGCTCAAAAATATCGCCTTCCATAGCGCCCACCTTAGCCAATGAGTCCGCTTTCTCATTACCCGGAATTGAGCAATGAGATGGGACCCAAGCTAAGGTGATAGTATAGGAGCAGTTAGATAAAGCACTCAGTTTAGATCGTATTTCAGGCAGGAAATACGAGGAGTGCTTCATCGGCCTCATTGAACGAATAGCCTCCAATGAGCTAAGACTATCCGTAAAAATAAAATAATGGTCAGACGGTAGTGAGGCAATTCGCTCTACTGCGTAAAATATAGCTGCGAGTTCCGCAACGTATACTGAGCATGGTTTCTGCAGTTTATAAGAGGCGCTATGAAATTGATTAAATACACCAAATCCAGTGGAAGCATTTATGGTTGACCCATCTGTGAAAAATCTTTTATCGTTACTTACATGGTGGTACTTGATTGCAAAAATTGAGGGAACAACCATCGACCGATGGTGATCTGGTATTCCATGGATTTCTTGCATCATGGTCAGATCAAAATTAACAGAGGAACTATAGAAGGCTTGAAAGCAATCACGATTGGAGATTAATGAAGAAGGACCAACCTCCAGCGTCATGTACTCATAGTACAAACTCATGAATCTTGTTTGATGATTTCTGTCGAGTAGCTTCTCAAAATTTTCTATTACCAATGGGTTCATTACTTCACAACGGATAAGAAACCGGAAGGACAGTTCCGCGAAACGATCTGTCAGTGGGAGAACACCCGCGAGTACTTCGAGGCTCATCGTATGCGTCGAGTGCATACAGCCAAGCGCGATTCGGAGGCAACGGTATTGAACCCGTTGCAGCTTCAAGATATGTGTTTTTGCCGCGGATTGAAAGCAGAAGCTACCGTACTCTAGAACCGACAAGATGGTTGTTCGATACAACCTGATCAGATCTTCCGGGTGTGCTCCCCACCAAGTTCCAGTAATTGTACGAAGAAAATTAATTCTTTGCTGGCATTTTTGTTTCAGATACGCAATATGTTTTCCCCATGTGCATTTGGAATCGAACCAGACACCTAAATACTTAAAAGAAATACTTTGAGTGATTGTTTTACCCATTAGCTGAAGCTGTAACTGTGCAGGATGGTGCTTCCTAGAAAAAACAACCAACTCAGTTTTCTCCGGAGAGAATTCGATACCCAGCTTCAAAGCCCAAGTAGACAAGTTGTCTAAGGTATCTTGCAATGGTCCTTGCAGGTCCGGTGCACTTGGCCCTATAACAGACACAACGCCGTCATCTGCAAGCTGCCTTAGCGAGCAATTTTCATCAAGACAACCATCAATGTCTTTGACATAAAAATTATAAAGAAGGGGGCTTAAACATGAGCCCTGGGGGAGACCCATGTAACTAATTCGTGAAGTTGTCGAGTTTCCATGAGAAAAGCTCATATATTTCTCAGACAACAAGTGGCTCAAATAGTTGTTCATAATTGGTGAAAGCCCACTATCGTGGAGTTTATCCGAAAGGACATCGATACAAACAGAATCAAAAGCCCCCTTAATGTCCAAGAAAACTGAACCCATTTGCTGTTTTTGCGCATAGGCCAGTTGAATTTCAGTTGAAAGCAACGCAAGACAGTCGCTCGTTCCTTTGCCTCTCCGAAATCCAAATTGCGTATCTGAAAGTAAACCATTCGACTCGACCCATTTGTCTAGACGAAAAAGAATCATTTTCTCCAACAATTTCCGTATACAGGACAACATCGCGATGGGACGGTACGAGTTATAATCCGACGCGGGTTTACCGGGTTTTCGAATGGCGATAACTCTTACTTGCCTCCAGTCATCCGGAACAATGTTGTGCTCCAGAAATTGATTGAATAAGTTCAACAAGCGTCTCTTCGCGACGTCTGGGAGATTTTTGAGCAAGTTAAACTTGATTCTATCCATTCCTGGAGCTGAGTTGTTACATGAGAGGAGAGCAAGTGAGAATTCCACCATCGAAAACGGGGAATCTATTTCGTTACTACCCGACGGACGATCACGAACGTTGGTTTGAACCGACACCGAATCCGGGCAAACTTTCCGCGCGAAGCTGAATATCCAACTGTCCGAGTACTCCTTGTCTTCATTAATCGGTGATGACGCATTTCGCATTCTCCTGCCGACATTCCAGAGTGTTCTCATGGAAGTCTCTCGCGACAAACCATCGACGAACCGACGCCAGTAACCGCGTTTCTTGGCTTTAATCAAGCCCTTGAAAGTTTTCTCGAGGTCGGTGTACCGCTCGAAATCCCCGACCTTACCGTGTTTGCGGAAGCGTTTAAACGCGGCGGACTTCTCGCTGTTCGCGTTGGTGCAATCCTTATCCCACCACGGAGTGAGAGGTCGTCTGCGAATGGAAACACCCGGAACGCGTTTCGTCTGTGCTTGAAGAGCGCAGTCAACGATAAGTCGCGATAAAAAGGAGTACTCATCCAGCGGA